AAAGTATCCTTGTTCCAAATCAGAATATCCCAAACCAGGCTTATCTACAGCATGTTTCTAGCTCCAGTACCTGGCTCTGATAACTCATTTCAGTCCAGTTGTCAGTCAACTATTTATGGGCCCCCTTAATCACCAGATAATTTTAAATATAAATATGGTGATCGTAAGTTTGATTCTACCGATGAAAATAAACTGCTCATTTTGGGGTGGGAATGCATTACTATTTTTAGGCCACTAGGGTACCACTTGACAAGGTCTTAATAGATCCTCAGCAGTAAATACTGCTTTCTATTTTAGGGTTAGGAACAGGGAAACATGAATCTACAGCTGCATATGTTTTTGTATTTTGGACTTAGGAAGGAATGAATTATCCATGTAAAATGTAATGCTTATTAATTTAACACATGAATAACTGATAAAAGAAGGAATCCTGTATGATGGTGGGCATAAAGATTATTGTGTGCTGGAGTATGAAATAGTAATGGACAGCCTCACAGTTGTTGCTTAAGTCAGTGAAGGTGTATTTCTGTCTTACTGCACAAATCAGAGCTCTTCAGCTTCTGATTCACCCAGAGACCTTGGCTCCAGGACAAAAGACTCCTTGGCATGGAAGTCAGGACAGCTAAAAGAGAGTGTGTGGCTCTGTTTGTTTATAAGGCACAAGCTGAAAAACCAGCCTGGGATACATACTAAATTTGAGGTCTGCCCAGCTTAAATACTGAGAATCCTGTCTTTAAAACAAAAGGGAAGGAAAGAAAAGGACCTTTGGTTCCTAAAATGGAGAGGTGCTGAAAGGTAGGGGTTGGAACTTGGTTGTAAGATGTTGGTCATGTGGACTGGGGGTATCCTTGTGAGTAATATCTTACCCTTGCCCCTTCCCATATTCTCCTTTCTATGTGTGCTGGTGGCCCATTGTAGTCTGAAGATACTCCAATCACCATGGTTTTCTGCCCACATGCATGGTTGCCAATTAGCCATAAATTGAACCTTCTAAAACCCCGAGTCCAAACAAATCTTTACTCTCTTATGTCATTGTCAGATGTTTTCATTACAGCACCCCAAAAGTAAGTTCTACAAAGTCACAGTTGGAGTCTGACTTTGGGCCCCCTGAGCTGGATCTATGTGATTCACTTACATGGCTGGTCACTATGCTGGACCTGAGCCAGGAGCTCAGTTTCCAACTCAACCAGAGAGTCAACATGGGCCTCATCATCATGGCAGATTCTTAAGGGAGCCAGGCTTATAAGAGTGTTAGAAGAAGGGATGCATGGCCTTTGGTGACCTGAAAGTCACATAGTGCCACTTCTACTACAGTCAGAGCAAGTCAAAGGTCACTTAGACCCAAAGGAAGAGAGAACGAGCTCCAGCTCTCCATGAAAGATGTAAAAAAAAAATGTGGACTTGCTTTAAATCTGCTCACAGCTGCAGCAGCATCTAGGGATGCTACAAGCCACAACATACAGTAATTAGTCATCTTTTCCCCGAGCAATTTATCAGAGCTAGGTGGTAAAGGTTAAACTGTAATTCAAGGAAATTTTGATGTTACTGCTTTGTGAATAAAGTAATGTTTTGGTTTTTTTTTGTTTTTTGGTTTTTTTTTTTGCTGTAGATTTTCACTGTAGCTATAATTCCCTTTCTGTTACATATTTGGGAATTAATTCCCACAGTTCAGAATTGTTTCCTGTGTTTTGGGGGCTTACTAATTACATTCCCCTACTACGTGTGAATACAGTTTCCCTCTGCCAAGCCTTTGTTCTTCTCTCCTAGGTAATTGCAGAGATCTGCCTTCTGCAATTATCTTTATCGGCAGTCATTTTTTTAAAATATTTATTTATTTATTATGTATACAGTGTTCTATCTGCATGCATCCCTGCAGGCCAGAAGAGGGCACCAAATCTCATTACAGATGGTTGTGAGCCACCATGTGGTTGCTGGGAATCGAACCCAGGACCTCTGGAAGAGCAGGCAGAGCTCTTAACCACTGAGCCATCTTTCCAGCCCTATCAGCAGTCATTTATTCAGTGTTTAGGGTTCAGGCAAGAGCATTCCATTTAAGATATTCACAGATATCCAAGGACATAGAATTATTGCTTGCCCAAGCTGCTGCTCTGGTTTTACCTCATTAAAAAATTCTTAATTCCTTACACTCACTTTCACCTCACCTCAGTTTACTGATGACTTTTGTTCAGGAAGTTTACTGCTTGTGTTTTACTCTCAAGGACAGCAGAAGAGATCTAGAACCACAGACCCACTATGCCCACAATCAGAACAGCTTATAACAGCATACCCTGTTAGTATGATAGTTTAGAGGTCTGGGTCTCCTCTGTTTCTACTGCCTAGAGCAATAAACATAAACTCCAGACTTAGGCACATAGAAACTGCAGCATCTGGTGAATGCTAATCAGATCAGGAGCCATTAGTTTCTCCTGACTGTTTACGTAGGTTGCCTGGTTACCCAATATCCTCTATGCATGCTGGGAGAAAAGAAGCGGTGGTGGGCTAATTTAAAATACAATCTCTGCCCTATTCATAATTTTACCGTAAAGTTTTAAACAGTTACACTGAATAAAGTATTTATGATTGAAACAGCTAGCAGAAGCCAGAGGATAACAGTCTGGGGTTTTGTGAGGCTCAAATGAGATTAAGTGCAGCTGGAGAGATGGCTCAATATATAAAGTACTTGTGAGAATCCCCCAAAACCTACATAAAAACCGGGCAGGCATGGTCACCAGCTGTAATCCCAGCACTTGAGAGGCAAACTGGGGGAATCCCCTAAGTTAGCAGGCTACCAAGACTGTCTAAAATATGTGAACTTTTGGTTCAATGAGAGACCCTGCCTCACTTAGCAAAGAGGAAAGCAATCAGGAAAGATAGCCAATGTCAGCTTTGGGTTGACACATGTGCATGTATTTGTGCATGTATGCATACTATATACATATACATTAGAAAAATGAGAATGTGTATTCTGAGTACTAAATAGGTATGGATGGATGCTTTCATAAAGGGAACCTGTACATTATTTTTAGGAAATGGCTGATAGAAAGGAGCATAAAGAACCAATTCTTGAAATGACATAAATAATCAATAGGGAAAATGTCTAGCCCAAGTCTTGATTAAATGATTAAATAAATGAAGTCTGTGGTGAATTTCTCCCAACTCTGTGTATAAGACTATTTCAAATGAGAAAACATGATACAAGTACAGTACTCCTGAAGGGGGAAGACAGTGATACCCTCTTATTTCCTGCTGATGCAAATGGAAATCAGTGTAGTATTTAGGGGAGAGTCTTAATTACTTACCAACACTCAAAGCGTGGTCTTTGAACTAGCATTTCTACCTGTGGACAAGCCTACCCAAAAGTAGGAAGATAGATGTGCTGAAATACTTCTGCACTAACAGCCTTTTTTGTACAGGAATGTTTCAGCAAAATCTGGCCAGTCTCCATGCAGCTCCTGGGCAGATGTAGCTTAGTGTAGACTCCCAGGAAAAGAAGAGACTAGAGTAGGTTTCACAATTTTACGTTTCCGATTTTGTTTTTGTTAGAAAATGATAGGAAAATGAAAATATGATTAAAGAAGACATTTGTAAGCAGATATACTACTGGAAAACTACTGTCTTTTAGAGGATCATAAGGCTTTGAGTATACATTAATGACTTTGAATCTTGGAGGATGACTGTATATATTCTAATTAGGTAGAAATCAGGAAAGAAAATAACCAGGGACAAATTGATTTACAACAGTGGAGCAAAACCAGTTGATTCTATTACTTTCCCCACATAGGCAAAAAATGTAATGATAATCTTTGATGTTAAATTTTATTGTACCTTCTATGAAATTCATGGTAGAGTTAGATAGTAAGTGAAAATTTTTAATCTTGTGTCTCTTTGGTATTCTTTCTTTTTCAGAATACAGCAATGGGAAGGGTTCTAAACAAAAATATTTTATTCAATAATAATTTTGATACTTAGGAATTTTTTTTGAAAATATATTACGTTTTTATTTAGTGGTGGTGGCGGCGGCAGTGTGTGTGTATGTATGTATGTATGTATGTATGTATGTATGTGTGTATGTGTGCATGCTTGCACATGATATAGTGTGCCTGTGGAGGTCAGGACAACTGGAGGAAAGGAAATCAGTTTTCTTTCCACCCTGTGAGTCCCAGGGATTGAATGCAGGTTGTCAGGCTTAGTAGCAGGTATCTTTCTTTACCTACTGAGTCATTTCACTGCCACAAACCTTAAAGATTTTATTGATCAACATAAAATTTTTAATTACAAGAAACTTTCACATGTGGAAAAACAGTTTCTATTGCTTTAAGGTAAGTAGTTTGATGTACTAGGGATATAATATAGCTCAGTAGTAGAGTGCTTATCTAGTATGTACAAAGCCAAATAAATATGAAAAGGATGAATAGTGTCAACCCCAAAGAGGTATCTATAATATTTTTATACACGTAGGTCTTTTTCTAAGATTTATTTTTAATGTCTATGAGTGTTTTATAAGTTTGTGCACCATATGCATGTCTGGTGCCCTTACTGGCCTAAAGAGAACATTGGATTCTCTGGAACTGAGTTACAGGCAGTTGTGAGTACAATGTGGGTGCTTGAAACCAAACCCAGTTTCTCTGCAAGAGCAGCCAGTGCTCTTAACCTCTGAGCCATCACTAACCCCCAGATGTATGTCTTAAGGGCTAAGTAAAAAGTAGGTTAGTTAGAGTTGGAGTGATTGTGAATGTTCTTTGATTTCGGTTATAAATGTGGTTTGTATCTACAGTTTTTATGTTTAGGAAGCATCTGAACACTAGCTCTATGACAGAGCAAGAACCAGTGTTTGATCGTGGACATTTCAACCTGACACTCTCATATCCCATGCATCCTAACATAGTTGGCCTTCACTGTGAAGATCACATAGGTTTTTCTAAGTAATGGCTTTTATGAACTCAGTTTTATATAATGATTTTTTTCCTTTCTTTGTTTTACTCTCCTTGCATTTCCTACAGAAGCCCTGGAGGGGATTTGGGAGCAAAAAAGAAAAAGAAGAAACAGAAGAGAAAAAAGGAGAAGCCGAATTCTGGGGGTACCAAGTCTGACTCTGCATCTGACTCCCAGGAAATTAAAATTCAGCAGTCTTCAAAAGTGAGAGCCTGTTTTCTTGCCACAGCTGTTGTTTCCCAATACAGAAGAAATGGGTTTGGGTGCCCTTTGGGCTAGATGTGTAGCTAGTGATTCATTTGGCTGTGTTGAATGGCAGTAGTAACTGGAGGGTATTTATAGCTTCCCTGAAGTTCATGGTGATACCTGCATAACCAAGAGGTACACACTGGGCTTCTGTATGTGTGCAGACATCTCATCTCTTCTCTGTGTAGTAGTATGTAAATCATAGTCATAGAAGAATGTCTCTCTGGGAGCCTGGTAGGAGTTTTTGTTTTTTGTTTTTTTTCTGTTTTTGCTTTGTTTTCTTGTTTTGTTTTGTTTTGAAGTTACACTTAATCTGTGATTACTTTTAGTTCAGAAGATATTCACATTTTAATTTTTCTGGGTGTCTGTCTAATTACCTGCATAGCACAACGCCATCTGGCAGCAGATTTCAGCGGGAGCAGCCATGGGTAAGTCTTCTGTTGACTTTGAATCAGCCTGGTCTGCAGTGGCCATCCCTCATGCCATTGCTAAGGGTGGGAAACACCTCCTCATGTTCTCCCTTAGGACACCCCTATTTTAGACCAAACTTGTTCATCTGGGTCCCATGTTGGCAGATAGCCTGCTGAAGAGCTAGTTGTGCTGTCCATAGGTCTGGTGATGCAGTTGGCAATTACCTCCCTACTTCCTGTCACACAGGAGAACACGGCCCTGGTGGTACAGGAAACCAGAGCCAAACGAACTGAATAGATATGACAAATGGTTGTAGCTTCAAGTCAATCTTTCTGGGCCAGTAGCGCGCCAAGATCTGGCACATGGCCTTGACTCCATTCCTCACATCGTATTGCTTATCTTTAAATCTGTTTCCTTATCCTGGAAAGCCCATTTCCCCCAGTCTGTAGAGCTGTCATGAAGTTAAAGTGACATCTTTTTTAATGAAGATAGCTTTGTTTTCTAAAGTACAGTGCACATGGCAAACAGCACCTGTAAATTGTGTGGATATCAGTTTTTATATGAAGTTTATATTATGTCACATAAATCAGTCTTTAGACACTTTTGTTGTTGCTACCTGCTTTATATGAAAGAACTAGGAGTCTCTTGCCCTGAGTGACTCTGAGGGAAAGAACAAAGTTGAATCTTTTGCCTTAGCTTTCCTCTTGACCTCAGGTGATCAATGTTCCACTGGACAGAACTTCCACCATCAGCTTGCAAATATTTTCCCATTTCTTGGTGTTGCTTCAGCAGATAAACGCATCACTTACCTGCAGTTGTGGGCAGCTCTTTGCTTCTACCACGCCATTGGCTTTACCCTCAGGGATTCTAAGCACTCACTCTGGGTACTGATAAGAAACTGCAGCCAACTGAGTGAGAGGAATTACTGCTAATATATATATGGTAGAGAGTTTGTTTTTTAAACATTAGGAGCTAATGTTTAATGAAACTGTTTTAATGTGGGATTTTGTTTATTACATTTTTCTTAAAAGCTGAAGTTTCTTCCACCCCACTCCTGTAAATTTATAGCAGGTATAGATAATGCCATACTATGACAGTAGATATATTTAGAGAATTATCTGATTTACACTTAAGGATTAAAATTAAAATACTTGTCTGAATTCTTAACAGATTTCTATATGTGGTGCTGGGGATTGAACCCAGGGCCTTGTGCATGCCAGGCAGGCACTTTACTGCCTGAGCCACAACCCCAACCCTTTTTTACAGACATTCTAGTGGCAGAAGACTTGGACAGATTTCTCCTAAGGTATTCATTTTGGAAAATAATGGGCAAAGAATGTAGCTGATATTTAGTATTCTTTAGGAAGCAGATATGGAAAGAAGTATGAATTTCTGCCTCTTAGGTAAGAACATAATAGTGGGCAGTTAATTGGGGGCTAATGCACATTCTCGCCTTTCTCCCCAGGTGGTGATACTATGGAAGGTGAATGGATAGATTTAAGAATGTATCATAAGGTGAGCGTGGTGGCGCCCGCCTGTAATCCCAGCACCCAGGAGGCCTAGGCAGGAGGATTGTGAGTTTCAGGCCAGCCTGAGCTACATAGGGAGACCTTGTTTCAAAAAAGAAGAAAAGATTAATCCTAAGGCCGAGGGTGTGGCCCAGTGGTTGAGCATTTGCCAAACATGATGTGCAGGTTTTTGCATTTAATCCCCAGCATTTCAAATAATCACAGTCTTTTAAAAAAAATTAACTGTGAATTTCCTTACTTTGACATAAGTTTAAAAATTGTATATTTATTTGTACCAATTTTAGAAAGCACTTAAATAGTGAACATTGGGGGAAATGTGTCACAAATGGCCATTATTTGTAGCACAAGTCAGCCTGGTGACACTGCGTAGATAGCACATATAAACTACTCTAGGGACTCCCTGAGCTGGAATATCATTGGCTCCTACAGAACCAAGATGTTGCTTCATGATTACTTCAAAATAATTTCCTTTTTGCTGTGTCTTGGAAGATTTAACCCAACTATCAGAAAAGAAATTTACTATAACAACTCAGTACAGGCTCTGTAGACAGATTTTTTAAGCCTAGATTCTACTTTGCATTTTCAAGTCAGGTTAAATGTATTCAAGCATTAGTTGAACTGTGTTGTAAGCTCGGTTCCTGTTGTAGGTCTCTTAGTAGATTATGTTGGAAGTTCAAGTGGTTATTAATTTTCTTATCTTAGAAATCAGTTACTTAAAAGTGTTAGAAAATAGCCAGGCGGTGGTGGCACACGCCTTTAATCCCAGCACTCGGGAGGCAGAGGCAGGCGGATCTCTGGGAGTTCGAGGCCAGCCTGGTCTACAAGAGCTAGTTCCGGGATGGGCACCAAAGCTACAGAGAAACCCTGTCTCGAAAAACCAAAAAAAAAAGAAAAAAAAGTGTTAGAAAATAAAACAGACCAAAGGTGGTTGTTTTGTTAATGCAAAAAATGATTGAATTAAAACTAAGCACTTCACATGAAGTTATGTATGAAATCAGCAGGCCAAAAGAAAACTGGAATTAAAACAACTTACATACATCAACTAAGAATAGCTAGATACATACTTTTGTTGTTATAAGAGAATAATTACATTTGGGTATTTATTCTAAGAAAAATTGACAACGTGGCTGAAAAAAAAATGCAGAGCCATGTGTTGTGGTTCGTGCCTGTAACAGTTTCTATTTGAGAGGTTGATGTGGGAAGATCTCATATTCAAGGTCAGCATGGCCAACTTAGTAAACCCTATCTCTAATTTATCAAAAAGCTGAGATAGATAGTGGTAGAGCCTTTTTTGTCTAACATGTATGTGGCTCTGGGTTCAATTCTTAGTACCACTTCCAAAAGGGATAGAAGGGAGGAAGAGGAGAGAGAAAAGGAATGCAATGATTAGAACAGGAAAGTATTTGCTATAATTTGTATGTGTCGTTAAGGTATGGCCCTATCTTTAAAACAGCTTCTAGACTCAGTGGCAGTAGAGCTGTGCTCATGGGAGCTGAGTGGAGGCAGTAAGCTGTTGGCCTGCTCCAGTTAGACTTCATAGCTTTATCTACTAGGTAATGTCAAGAACCTAAAGAAACCCAGTAAATAAGGCAGCCACAGGACAGCCTGTTTTGTACTTCAATTAGAGAAGCTTTTCAAGTTATAAAGGGCTTGTTCAGAGCACAGATTTCAGACTCAAAATTGAGCAGAAGTCCAAAGTTGTTGGAGAGTCCATTGTCCCTGTGCTTCATGTTCAGTGTACTGATACACAGCAAAATCTAATGGCTCTGAAATTTCTTCCATCCATTTCTAAATCACAATGGAAAGTATTATTTGAGTGGTATCAAAATCCTTAAATTCAGTTGTTTTACATATTGGGGGAAAAAGCCACTGATTTTATATCCAGTCCCAGGTCCTGTGTCTCATTTTGAATGTAATCTCAGTTTCTGTGTATTATTATTACATTTGAAGAATTAAGTAGATGGGAATCTGCAAGAGAAAACCTGGAATATGGACTTTGAGAAAGGAATTTTGGAATTAAAATACTGCCCACTTTATAGATAAGAATATGTTTTACTTAAAAATGAGGCTAGTTTTCCATACTTCTGTTGAGTGAACAAGCAGTGGTTGCCAAGGATTATGGTTTGCAGAGCAGCTTTTTTTCTGCCTTCTGTCTCAGGGCTCCTCTAGTGTGAGAAAGGCTGGGTGTGGTCCAGGAGAGAGTAGTAGCAGGGTTAGTGGTTTCTTCTTAACCATTTCCTTCCCAGCATAGCCCTAAGGTTCTCTTTTCTTTTTTTTCCCTCTTTCCCTTCTAATCATCTCTTGTCTGTCTAGTTTCTATTCTAGAAGTTGTTTCCTCTGCCCCTCCACCATTGCTGCTGCAGAGCATTATCGCTAACAGCACAACCGAGGCTCCTGGCTGCCTGGCTGCTGTGTGACAGTAATGCATGCCTGCATGTCACTTTTTGCCTTCTTTTCCCAAAGGAACAGTGGGACCGGCACAGATGGGCGGGAATCTGAAGCAAAGGGTGCTTCTGTGTACTTAGCATTCCCAAACCACCAGAGTCCCCATTGAAACTCCATCACAGTGGTCATCTGCAACAGTGCAGGTGTTTCATCTCGGTATATTCACAGAGAGCCTTCAGCAGGCTTCCAGGAGGTGGGACAGTGTTTAGGAGTTGCAGCCTCTGAGGCCAATACACACAGTTGCCCTGTGTTCCAAAGTGGTGGCAGCTTCCTCATATCATGTGTCTGTGTCTCTGCTCTCCTAGAATCCTACCATCCCTATTCAGAAGCTACAGGACATCCAGAGAGCAATGGAGCTGCTGTCTGCATGCCAAGGCCCAGCCAGGAACATTGATGAGGCCACAAAGCGCAGATACCAGTTCTGGGACACACAGCCAGTACCCAAATTGAGTAAGCTCATAAGCGTGTTTCCACAATCCAGCGTGAAGAGACCTGGACGCAGTCTTGTGTCATACACTCAAAATTAACACAAAAGATAGTATCTGTCTTCTTGAAGTATAGATACACTAGTAGGGACATTTGTTTTCAATAACACTGATTGTAGCCTAATTGCTGTTTCTGTTATGTTATCCAACTGTCCCATATTTGAAATATGTATATATCATAATTTTCTATTAGGCTTTCCTATATGTATGTTTACAATAAAATATATAATACACTGTATACTAAAATATACTATATATAATATATAAAATATGCTACATTCTACAATATAACTAATATATAGTTTATATAATATATAACCTACATATATTATACAGAAAGAGAGTTGGTTTTTTTTCTCTCATTCCTGTTCTTTGCCTCTGATCTTCATGAAGTTGTTTTTTCCTAGGTATTGTATTTTGAAGATCTTTTAAAATTTTTTATTGGATGCATACGACTGTTTTGCTTGCATACATACATAAGAGCCATTTGTATGCTTGGTGTCCATGGAAGCCAGAAGAAGGCAATGGATCACCTGAAAGTGTAGTTAAAGATAGTTAGTTGTGAGGTATTGTGTGGGTGCTGAGAACCAAACTTTGGGTCCTCTGCAAGAGCAGCAAATGCTCTGAACCTCTGAGCCATCACTCTAGCAATCCCCTCTGTCTCCCACCACTTTGTTTTTCAGCATTTCTTACACCTCAGGAATTCTAAAGGACTCAGATTAAAAAAAAAAAACTTCTCTATAATATCTCACTAAGTGGATAATTGTGTGGTGCTGAACATGTAGAATAGGGGGAACCCGAGTCACATTATCCCAAACTAACTCCAAATAGAGTATTCTAAGGTTTTTCTTTATTAAAAGGGAAAGCTTACAGAACAGGAACAGGTGTCCAAAATCAAGGTGTGGAGCACAGGAAGCTAGGGGTGAGTGGGTGGGATTGTGACCTTTTGGCACCCCAAAGCCACGCTTCAACCTGGTCCAGCCTCTCAAAGGCCATTGGCTGAAGGAGGTTCCTCATCACCCCTTTTGTCTAAATAAGAGCTTCAAACCGAATACAGAATTGTATACAATAAGAACAGATATCATGTATAAAAATTAGAATTATAACCAGCATAAACTATTAAGCAAGGAACGTATGCTAAATGTTTTAATAATCATTCTATCCTAAGGAGTCTAAGTCTTGTATTAGAAATGGCTTAGCTAAATCATAAGAGGAAAATAACATCTAATCTTTAACCCCTTCGAAGGGAGAAGGGAGATAATATTACTTGAGTAGGCAGGAAGTACAATCAGACAGCTTTCAAAATGTACAGTAGGTGACAGAGACAACTGGCTACCTGATGAGTCACCCAAAGTCTCATTTGCAGTGTTGGAGCAACCAACGTTGGCTAAGACCTAGAGTAATTGACAGACCATTTTTAGAGGCAGGGAATATTTTTTAAAACTATCTTACCCTATCTTGGCAAGGTTTGACAGTCTTTTTACCCTGTTTGTCTACTCCAGACAATGTGTATTTTGTCAGTGGTCGAGGCATGGGCAGTCCCTTACCCAAAGGCCAGTTTTGGAAAGAAGAAAACAAGCTCCAAGTGGAGTGCCTTCAGTGCTCAACTTTTTCTTGGGCATAGATCAGTGCTGCCAGGAGCAATTGTGTCTCATGTCAACAGAACCCTAAATTATTTAAATGCCATAGTCTACAATTATTTGAAGTAGTTGAAAATTACCTGTCAATGTGGAATACAATCTCTATGTATCTAAAGAACCTGATTAGTCTAACTATATATGGATGACTATAGACCTATACTGCTTAATACCTATATAGCTTAAATACTAAGACTTCTATGAATATTAAACAATCTTTAAACCACTGTGCAACAATGAGAACAGTGACTTCAAAATGTAAACAGTGTACGAGTATCTTCATCAGAGGTAGAAATGTATAGTGCAATATGATAAATATATCCTAAAATGTATCAGTATACAAAATTTCTTAGAGAGGTAGAAACATGCATGCATACAATCTGACAAAATAACTTTGCATAGGTGTACAAATATTATAAACAGAAATAGGAGCATATTCAATACAACACATATAATTTGAACTTATATCAATATGTAAGAATCTATGGGCTGGAGAGATGACTCAGTGGTTAAGAGCATTGCCTGCTCTTCCAAAGGTCCTGAGTTCAATTCCTGGCAACCACATGGTGGCTCACAACCATCTGTAATGAGGTCTGGTGCCCTCTTCTGGCCTGCAGACATACACACAGACAGAATATTGTATACATAATAAATAAATAAATATTTAAAAAAAAGAATCTATACCAATGTAAATTGTCCATAAATAGCTCACAAGTATGCATGCTATTACTCACTATTATTATTCCTATTATCCCATTCAGTTTCCCCTTTTTTTCTTTCCTATTTTACAAAGGTGAGATTATTAATAATATGAAAGCATTCAAATTACATGACAGCATTATGTCCTACTTTGACTTAGAATTGTACCTACTAACATGTTGATTATTTAGGTTCCAATCAGTATATAAAGGGTCACTTGCACCTAAAACTCTAAACATCCCAGTTATATACAGATAATCCATTTTGATGTTATAACTCGAGTAATGTTTTCCTGAGCATTGGAAGTATCAGTTATGTTTTTCCAATCCTTTCCCACACATATCCATACCAACAGCTAGAGAAGGACAGCATCTAAGTAGTCAAGAAAGGAATAAGACTGAAAATTGGGAGTATGCCTCAGTGCTAGAGCACTTGCCTAGGATATGAGGCCCTGGACTCATCTCTTACACTGGGAAGGATGGGAGTGGGTCTACCTTTTTTCTTTCAGCTTCTAGAAATGTGTCTGGTAATGGAGGAATATTCTTTAGAATAAATTTACAAAGTCTTTAATGACACCTAATTAAATAAGTATTAGTTGAAGGATCTAGATTTATTGACTGTGGTGAATGTGGTTCACTAAGCTGTTTTCTTGCCCTCCAGAGAAGTCACCTAATCTCAGGGTTCCTTTTGGGAAGAATTGCCTGGGGCTCATCCTCCTTTCCTCTCCCTGCCCCCAGCTCTTGCCCTAAATTTTTACAGGGTTCTCAGAATGCTAGAGCTCCTAGTATACCTCAGTTCAGTCAGAGACCATGTCTGCTGAGGGAGTCATGTTGGTGCAGAAAAGGAGCCCTGACAGAATACATAGAAACTGCCTCTCTAGTTCTGTCTGGGGTGTGACACAGTCCAGGCTAAACACACCCAGCTGTTCCAAGGTGCCTGCATCTTGTAAGCGTTATATAGGCTTCATGGGGATACTATATATGAGTGACCAGGAATTGAGCCACAAGGGTTCCCAGGAGAAAGTCTGAGGACCTGGTGCAAGTCGTGCACTTCTTGTAGAAGGATTCTATAACTAGATGTACCGGATCCATACTCCGCAGATAGTAAGTAATTGCCAGGGTCACAGGTCAAGAAATGGTCATGGAAAGTGGGACAGAGGTAGAAAGGAGTTGTATAAGGTGATCAAGCAGAACAGAGAGCTTCTATATCTTTCATAGGAAAAAAGCTTTAATTGTTGAAAGATACTGTGAGAAAATGACTTGTGAACTGAGACATTCCCAGGGACCAACATCTTAATGACCAAAGGACAAGGCCTCAGCAAAAAGGAATGCCCTGAACTTAAGACAAATTCTTAAGGTCAGAGGCTATCATACTGGGAACAGGACTATGGAGGTATGCAGAGATGCCAGGCAGGCTAGAGCCACAGAGAAGCGTCTACATTTTATTCTAAATTACACACTTAATTCAGGGAAAGAATTGGAAAAGAGAAGTTAAGGGCTGGGCTGAATATAATTGTAGCGTGCTTTCCTACTACAAACAAAGCCTTGGGTTTTATTCTCAGCACCGTATCAACCAGATGTGGTTACATGCCTGTAATCCTAGCATTCAGGAAGTAGAGATAGTAAAGGTAGTGTGGTAGTCTAATTGTAATTGGCCCCCATAATCTCATAGGGAGTGGCATTATTAGGAAGTGTAGGGTCTTGTTGGAGTAGGTGTGGTCTTGTTGAAGGAAGTATGTCACTGTGAAGGTGGGCTTTGAGGTCTCATGTGCTCAAGGTACTGCCCAGTGTCTCAGACCACATCCTGTTGCCTATAAGATGTAGGAATCTCAGCTACTTCTGCAGCACCATGTCTACCTGTGTGCCATCATGTTCCACCATGATGACAATGGACTGAACCTCTGAACTGTAAACAAGCCACCCCAATTAAATGTTTTCTTTGTAAGAGTTGATGTGGTCATGGTGTTTCTTCACAGCAGTAGGAACGCTAACTAAGACAGGTAGGGAGAAGTAATCAGTTTAGAAATTTGTGTTAGGTTTTGCTGCTGGAAGGCCTCCACACCTTCAATTTGTGGACGTGAAATAAAAAAGAGAGACCATTTCTAAAGCTGTTGTATCATGCTTGTATCGCTTATGGTTGTGGTTGTAGTGTAGTGCAACCTAGGGCTGAGGCTGAGAAATCATTTTATAATGTCACTATGTGACATTCAGTTTCTCTTTTGCTTAACTGGTGAAATAACAGTCCAAAGGAATCAACAATGTGTTAGTTATTACTACGTATGATTATTAATAATATTAATACTATTGTTATAAAATAAAGCATGCACTAATATAGCTGCTCTTACCATTTGGATTCTTTTGAGCTCAAATGTCCAAAATCTGAAAGTGTCCTTTAACTTCTGTTGCTATTTGTGGGATTGTCAGACTATTACGTAATATGATATCCTTTCTTTTTCTTTTTTTTTTTTTTTCCCAGATGAAGTCATAACATCTCATGGTGCAATTGAACCAGACAAGGACAATATCCGCCAGGAACCGTATTCTTTGCCACAGGGTTTTATGTGGGACACTTTAGATTTGAGTAATGCTGAAGTGGTAAGACTTTAATTCAACAGCTACATTCACTGTCATTGTTCTAAGGTACATTTACTAACATGGTGCTCTGAGCACCTTAGACAGTACACTTTTTCTGTCTTTTAGCTGAAGGAGTTGTACACTTTGCTGAACGAGAATTACGTGGAAGACGATGACAATATGTTCCGCTTCGACTATTCGCCTGAGTTTCTCTTGTGGTATGCCTGGCTGGTCATGGGCCATTGATTGATTGTTGACTGAGGAGGTTTTGTTTTGTTCTTTTGTTATTGGATCCTGACTGGTGTTTCTTTTCTCTACCTCAGGGCTCTGCGTCCCCCAGGCTGGCTTCTGCAATGGCACTGTGGGGTCCGAGTGTCTTCAAATAAAAAGCTAGTAGGTTTCATAAGTGCCATCCCAGCAAACATTCGAATTTATGACAGGTACGTGTTAAAGCCTGTGCATGTGTGTATGTGCATTCCAAATTGTAATTAAAATAGGCTTTTAAAAGTTACACAGTACAGAACCAGGGTGATGGAGCTCGGTAAAAAGCGCTTGCTATGCAAGCATGAGGACCTGAACTTGGATCCCATCCCCACCACCCATATTAAAATAAAAAATAATAAAATAAAAATAAAATAAAAAAATAATAAAAGCCAACTGCTATAATATATACCTGTAATCTTGGAATTAGGGTAGCAGAGACAGGGAAATGGAGGGTGCCAAGAGCTTCTTGATTGGTCAAGTTATTTGAATCTGTAAGCCCCAGGTATAGTGCCAGTCCTGCCTCAAAAATAAATAAATTGTGGAGCACCATTGAGAAAGACAGTAGATGTTTACCTTTAGTGTTGCCGGCTTGTGCCATGTGGTAAAATTCTAAATCAAAAGAACCAAAGGACAAGAAATGTAGCTCAATTGTAGAGTGTCTGCCTGGCATGTGTGTGGCTTTGGGTCTCTGGTGCCAAAATAAGTAAGTCAATGATTACTAAACTTGGCTGTTGATAGCAAGATTGCTTGGGAGAGCTGTTTAGGAGCTCTTTGTACACTGATACTGTAAACTTAAAAAGTCTAATAGTTAGATTTATTTAGGTTTTTCTTTTTTAGTTAAAGGAAAACTTGGACAAGAGGTGAGAGAACAGTGCTGTCTTTCTATCCCTCCATCTGTCCAACTATACCTCACTCCACTTTCCCATTGATCCTCTCTCCCTCCTTATTTATTTATTTATTTATTTATTTATTTATTTATTTTGATTTTCAAGACAGGGTTTCTCGGTAGCTTTTGGTTCCTGTCCTGGAACTAGCTCTTGTAGACCAGGCTGACCTAGATCCGCCTGCCTCTGCCTCCGCCTCCGGAGTGCTGGGATTAAAGGCGTGCGCCACCACCGCCCGGCTCTCCCTCCTTATTTTTATTTTACTCTTTGCCTCTCAATCTCATACATGCACACAGCTTTATTTATGTATATAATTATGTTCATAGAATAAACAAAGCCATCAACAGGTATTTCAGAAAAAATTAGCAATTTTAAAGGCGATTATAAACTCTGTCCAAAGGATAAATGTATTATATATTTGCTCTGGATTGCCAGTCCTAAGTCAGATACGCAGATATGAAAATCAGAGGTCTAATAGCTAATATGTCTGTTTACCATAGTGAGCTGCCTAGCTGAACTGATAAAAGCATGTGCTCTCAAGAACACTTAAAATACACACATACCTCACGTCAGAACTGAACTTTGAAGCTCTGGGAGGATTATGGCGGCTTGGAATAGTGTCAGCTCTGGTCTGATGAAGGCCCTTCTCCAGGGATCTTGGGGAATCTGTCATGTTTGAACAATACCTTGCCATTTCTACTTTAGAGTGGATGGGAGTGGTGGGATATTATTTAGTTGGTTTTGTTGTTGTTATTGCTGTGTTGGGGTTTTTATTTGCTATATTTGTTTGCCATAATTATATATGTTGCAGGAAAAAACATATAGGAACACTTCTTGCGACCTATCTGATCTAACGTCTAAAATTATAAAAATAGACCAAAGTTTTAAATTCTAATTGAGGTCAATTAGAATTTGATTGATCATTGTAATCTAGATCTCCCTGACCTAGAGTTGACCATTTTGACAATGGGTATAGAAAATGGTATCTAGTCTGATTTTGTGAAATCCCTGCACAGTGCATTATTTTTCGGGATGCTTTTCATGGTCTTTTTTTTTGAACTTTATAAAAATGTTGCCCTGCTTTTTAAAGTGTGCTCTAATTGTTCCGTCTGTTTGTCAGCGTGAAGAGGATGGTAGAGATCAACTTTCTCTGTGTCCATAAGAAGCTGAGATCCAAACGGGTAGCTCCAGTGTTAATTCGAGAGATAACTAGAAGAGTGAACCTAGAAGGGATCTTCCAGGCTGTTTATACTGCCGGAGTGGTTCTTCCTAAACCTGTTGCCACATGCAGGTAATAGCACCACACAAACATCAGAAGTTTCCCCTTTGCCAGATGGGATGGGTCGTAACTATGTTCTCCTCTGATTTAATCCACAGGGATTGGGCTTGCTGGGGATAGTAGTTTGTTGGTAGCTGATGTAGAGACAAAACTCAAGCCATTGACTCCAGTATTCAGTATATCTTGTAGCACTCTCGGTTATTAAGTGTAAAATTTACCCACTAATGATGCTGGATTCACATTTCCATGTCTGCTCCGTCTGATGTCTGTGCATGGGCAAACCTGTGGTGTCGCAGTCTAGAAATGCCCATCCAGTGTCACACTGCTAAATGTGACGTGTTGTCAGTCAGAAGTCTGCGGGTTCTTGTTGGCTAACCAGGCTCGCAGAGATTACTCCAGAGGGAGTGCAGTCAGACTGTTACTAGTCTAACCTGCTTTTAAGACATCAAAAAACAATTTCCCTCCACAAATTCTCTTGATTCAGGTAGGATGAAACTTGAATATAGTACAAAACTGTAAAATCACTATAGCTTACTAAATTATTACATTAGTAAATAAACAGAAAAATTGGCATCATAGGTATATTTCAGTACAGATAATGTATTATATACCAAAACTGAAATCAAATTGAAGGATTTCCTCAGAATTAGTTTTCTTTGATGGTATCTACTAATAGGAACGGTTTATTTTGCAGGAATATTTTCATGATCTTAAATTTCTTGTTTGGTTTGCCTCATAAAATCACGAGGCTCCTTAAAATTTACATACATCTTTTATTAAATAAAATACAAAATATAAAATGTGCAATATTCTTATTTAGGGGAAGATATGAAAGACCACAAACTCCAAAGGAACATAACTAGCAGCAAGTCCAGTTTTATGCTTGGGTTTTTTTTTTTTATATCTTCAGACAAATTAATACATATAAAATGGCCAGCGCCATCAGTGCACGTGGTACAACGTAAGTGTTAAATAGATGCTTCTAGAACAGCTAAGACAGAGTAAAACCTCCATTGTCTTCCAGGTATTGGCATCGATCCCTAAACCCCAGGAAACTGGTGGAAGTGAAATTTTCTCACTTGAGTAGAAACATGACCTTACAGAGAACAATGAAGCTTTACCGACTTCCGGATGTAAGTAAGAGGCATGTGCTACTTTCTAAGTTTGTAACCATTGACGCTTTTGACGTCAGACTGAAGCTGTGCTTATAGCTGGGAAAGGAGAATGCCATAATTTTTGAGCGTTGCCACTTAATGAGGGAGAAAAGTCTTTTTTTTTTTTCAATTGTTAATGTTTTTGTTTGAATGTTTTTGAGACAGGGTTTCTTTTTGAAGTCCTGACTGTCCTATAGAACTAGGTCTGTAGAGCAGGCTGACCTCAAACTCAGAGATTCCCTGCCTCTGCCTCCTGTGGACTGGGTTTAAAGGAGTGCACCTTCATGTTACACTTTGTCCCATAGAACTCAGAATCCAAGCTTAAAGAAAAGATTTGGGCCTGGCGGTGGTGGTGCACGCCTTTAATCCCAGCACTCGGAGGCAGAGGCAGGCGGATCTCTGTGAGTTCGAGGCCAGGCTAGTTCCAGGACAGGAACCAAAAAAGCTATGGAGAAACCCTGTCTCAAAAAAAAGATTTGGGAGGTGAAAATAATGTATTCGTTTATCTATTTTTTTTCTATCTTATTGATTTTTTAAATATTTATTTATTTATTTATTATGTATACAATATTCTGTCTGCATGTATGCCTGCAGGCCAGAAGAGGGCATCAGATCTCATTACAGATGGTTGTGGGCCACCATGTGGTTGCCGGGAATTGAACTCAGGACCTTTGGAAGAGCAGGCAGTGCTCTTAACCACTGAGCCATTTCTCCAGCCCCCTGATTTTTTTTTTTTTTTAAAAAACTTTTTAGAGAGAATCTTGCTGTATAGAAGTGACTGTATATAGCCTAGACTGTCCTCAAAAATCTTAAAATCCACCTGCTTTAGTGTCTGGGGTTACAGGCATAGGCACCAGTCCTGGAAGCTACCTTGTTTCGTTTTGTTTGGTGTATGTAGTGTGGGACGTGCTCATAACGTCTGTGGGTGCCCATGGAGTAAACATTGATGTGAAGTCAGGGATTGACTTTCTCTACCACCCCATTTTAATTATTGAGGTAGGGTCTCTCATTGAACCCACATTTGGTTAGACTAGCTAACAAGCTTACTCTAGGCGTTCTCTATCTCTGCTTTCTGAATGCTAAGATTATAAGTGGGCCACCAGACCCCTATGGGTGCTGGGGATCCAAACTTCAGTTCTCAGGTTCAGCAAGCACTTTATCCATTGAGCTGCCCCCCCTTCCCTTCATCTTTTTAAACTACTAGAGTCATGATATGAAAAATTGTTGTCGCATAAAAAATTTAAATATAGTTGAGTGATACATTATGTATCTTTTGCTGATTGTCACAAACCAAGCAGCTTCAAGCAGTATAGGTTTGTTTGTTTTTCAGAGACAGGGTTTCTCTATGTAACAGTCCTGGCTGTCCTGGAACTCACACTGTAGACTATTAGCCTCAACNAACTTACAGAGATCTGCCCACCTCTGCCTCCCAAGCTTAAATATGTAAGCCCCCCCGCCCCCCACCACTCTCTCTCTCTCTCTCTCTCTCTCTCTCTCTCTCTCTCTCTCTCTCTCTCTCTCTCTTTTCTTTTAAACAGTTATGTTTAAACCAGTCATTGTGACACATTCCTATAATCGTAGCACTCAGAAGAAGACTGAGGCAGGAAAATAAAGAGTTGAAGTCCAGCTTGGGTTACATAAAAATACTGTGATTTGGGATTGGAGAGATGGCTCAGCAGTTAAGAGCACTGACCTCCACATGGTAGCTCGTGGCCATCTGTAACTTCTGGCCTCTGTAGGTGCCATTTACACATAGTGCACAAATATATATGCAGGCAAAATATCCATACACATAAATAATTAATTAAAAAAAACCATGTCCTGTCTAAACAAAAACACCATGCACATTTGTTTTCATATGTGTTTCAAAGAGCAAGCCACCACTTAACTGCATCTTCTGCTTCTGGCCATCTGGGTGTCAGTCAGCCAGGACCAGAGTTGTGTATACATTAACTGGGGAAAGAGCCACTTTTTGGCTCATAGGGCTGTTAAAAGGACTGATTTACCTTCTGCTTGGTGGGCTCAGAGCCGTTTCTGCTTGTCAGCTGCCACAGGCTGTTCTCAGCTCCTTGCCACAGGGTCTTCTCCACAGGGCAACCCATAGCCTGGCAACTTATCTCAAAGCCAGTAAGAGCTGTTTATAGAAGGGGGGTTGTGCCAATTAGATGAAAAGCAAAACCCTCTCCCATGGAGAGGGGAGAAGATGGAAGGGAGCAGAGAAAAATGTATAGTGCAATAAAAACAATTTAAAAAACATTCCAAAGAAAGAAAGAAAGAAAACCAGAACCCTGTGCAGCCAAGTCCTAAAAGAGATGTCTAGTCACTACTTTTGATTGGTTAGCAGCAAATCACAGGTCTCTCTGTGTTCAATAGGAACAGTTCAAACCAGACATGATCTCTAAAAGGTGGACTGTCCAGACATTCTCAGCTACAGATCTTTGATGTGCTGTTTTGTTATGTGAATTGAAATTAAAACTGCATCCATGCCTAATTTTTCACCAGGAAGGAATGCTGCTCCACATTAGTCTCCCAGGACTCTGTATTAGGCACAAAGCAGTCTAGTGTATATGTAAGGAAAATATTCACATGGAGGTTACCTAAAATGGAACAAAGGAAAAGCAGTTGTATTACCTATCCCAAGTTTATTTTGGCTAGTAAAAATACTCAACTTGGCCTTCATAAAAATTAATGTCACAGACAACAAAGTTTGGTAAATTGGTGGTGAATCACAAACAAGCTTTTGTTCTAAAAGCAGACTTTGGCATGGTTCTAACAGTTGGCAGTGTTCCTTCTGTAGCAGCCATGTTGTCAAAGTGTTGACTTTTTTTGCCGAGTAAGCTTAGGTTTATAATATGCTTTTACATACATTAATCAATTTATTCATACATCTTTAGAAGTTAGTACTTCTTATTTCTATCATACACATGAAAAATTGAGGTTTAGGAAGGTTGATATTTAGCTCAGGCTATAAAACCAAAAACAGTAAGACCTGTGATGTCCCATCCTTAAGCTTCAAAGGTTTCTGTTAGACTTATGGTGCTTGCTCTCACACACCCCGTAGGAGTGCCATGGCCCAGGCCCGCAAGGTGTCCCTCTGTGCCATTATTACCATATACGTGAGATCAGAAAAGAACAGTTATCAAGGTCCGGGCAGATTTCGTTAACATGTTCTAAGTCTAAGCATCTTTCTTCTATTTCAGTTATAGGAAAGAGGAATGAAGAGTAGTTTAGTTTCATTCTGTTGCTGATTTAAAAAACAAAACAAAACACAAAATGACCAGAAACAGCTTTGGAAGGAAAGGGCTTATTTCACTCAGACTTCCAGGTCACAGCCCATCATTGTGGAAAGTCAAGGCAGGAACTTGAAACAGGAATGTTGAAGCAAGACTCATAGAGGAATGCTGTTTACTGGCTTACTCTGTGCCTCATGCTCAGTTAACTTTCTTATATAGACCAGGCCAACCTCCCCAGGGATGGTGCTGCCTACAGTTGGCTGGTCCTCAATCATCAATCAAAATAGTCCCTCAGGTTATAGGTACAAGCCAACAGGATCTGGGATCTTGGTTGAGGTTCCTTCTTCCCAGGTAACGCTGGGTTGTGTCAGGTTGACCGTATAGACTGATTAGCGTAGTAGTTGGTAAATAAAGAGGGAAGAGAGAGCAAAAGAAATAAAAATAAAGATAATAGAAAATTGAAAGATGCCAACAGCAATCACCCTGATGACTCTTGATTAAAGATAGATGGTGCAGCTGCTAACAGTCAAGCCACTTGTATTGCTCAGTATAAGGGAACCTTCTGGAATATACACCATGGTTGTTTCATTTTTACCGTTACTATTTTTCTTACAGTTCTTGCTTTTGTGTCTTAGGCATAGACTTCTGAACCTAGGTACTAATGTTTATCAGGCCAGCATTGTACTAGAGAATGAACATTTATAATCTCATGCACTTGCCTGAGCAGTCACAGGATGGCGGGCTATTATCCCTATCATAGAAGCTGACATGGAAAACCAAGATTGGCATGTGGAGTCTGCTTTGTAAGAACAGAGCTGGCCTGGCACTCATTGTGGCTAGCATTTCCCAAAGGCTAGGCTTTCCTAAGAAATATATCTTCCTGTGTCTCCCTGCTGTTTGATGTGCTTCTTTATTTGAAGTTCAGGATTAAGATGGAGGGAGGGGCTTAAAAATAATTTGAAGTAGATTAAAAAGTAAGATTAATCAACCAGCATGTCTATGCTTTCTGCTGTTAAAAGGGATACACTTGCTAGGGCACATTAAAGCATATGGTGTTTTATATTTTTAATAGCACTAGATGATCTTAGTACTTAGAAACTCCCTTCTTTATCATATAAGTAACCATAACCATTACTGCCAACTATCTCCAAATCAGCTCATACCATGTTGACAGGTAACACTTTTGTTTTTCAGTGGAGTCTGAGTTTTTTCCTTATACAATTGTACATACAAGCTTCAGATTATGTGGAGTTGAAAAAATAATTGATACTAGTTGAGGCTGAGAAAGTATCTAATTCAGACACAGAATTTGCTTAGGAAATGTAACTTGCTCCTATTAACCAGGAAAGTTTCTTTGCTTTATATTGAACCCCCAGAAAACTTGAGTGTTTTATTCAGTTATACAAAAGCATCCTATTTTTACCTCAGTTTGGGTCTTCCCAGTTATTCTTGAAGACTGTCATAATTGTCTGATCGATGAAGCATCCTAGCTGAAAATATTGTCTTCTTTTGTGCCGCTTGTATGTGCTGTTCAAGCCTTCTGTACTGAGCTACATAACTCGGCACAAGAGAGTTTTTGGGTAACTTTGGCATATAGATACATTTTAGATGGTTTTGGTCTTTAACTAGCATTCAGAAATACATATTTATTTTACTTATTTCCCTGTGGAACTGGACATTTCTTTTTGCAGTACTAGGATTTAATCCATTGTTTTGTGCACACTAGGCAAGCACTTTACTGGGACTAGATGTTTCTGCTTTCGAAAGCCACAAAAAGATAAGTGTGAGCTGCTTATTCAGTGTTAGGGATTTAGTTCTCCAACTTTAGATAATTAAATGGTATTTTAGTTGAGGTTCCATGTGTTTATAGAGTACGTACTCCATCCTTGAGCAGGTTGTTGTAAACGCTCAACCCTTGGGCCTGGAAATGTAAAGCATCCATTGCTAGCTTCCTTGCCTTCCCCCATACTACCAGTAATCAATCAACACTGTTGGTCATAGAGCCTTGGAAACATCTCTAACCCTCAGTAGTAGTTGATTATAGCTGCCACCAAGATAATAGGGTCCTTCAGAAATCATAATATTCTAATTCTATGAGTTTTATTGTTTTGCGTGTTTTTTTTTTAATTTACCTATTTAGTTGTGTGTATGTGTATCCATTCGCATGCATGGTACATGTGTAGAGGTCAAAGAATACCTTTATAGTATTGATCACAGATGCACACCACCATATCTAGCCTTTATAAAAATGTGGTTTCCGGGGATCAAATCCAGGTTGTTAGGCTTGTATGGCAAGTAGTTTTACTTGCCTAGTCTTCTCCCAGGCTCTAGGGATTTTTAGTTTAGAAATATTCACAAGTAATTGAGAGCAAAACAGTATATTAGCAATATTTGTGCTACTTCTTAAAATTATCCAATATTTCTTCAAGTGGAAAAAGCATAAAATTTGATGCTGTTATTCATATCTGTTAAGTTCTTGGTATAGCACTTTGTAATGTTCCATTTAGTTTATTTGGATACGAAGATAGGACACAACCTGGACAGTGGTAGCACACTCCTTTAGTCCCGGTACCCTGGAGGCTGGCAGATCTCTGTAAGTTCAAGGCCAGCCTGGTCTACAGAGCAAGTTCCAGGACAGCCAGGGATACATAGAAAGACCCTGTTTTGAAAAACCAAAATAACAACAGCAACAAGAAGACACACATTGCTTATCAACTTTATCTTCGTTGAGAGTGCAGGCTGTCATACGTTTGCCAGGTGCACTGGTGGAGTTCAAAGGACGCTTGCAAGAGTTGCTTCCCTCCTTTCATCATGTGGGTCCTGGGGTTGAATTTGTGCTCAGGGTTGGCAGTGGGCTTCTTTATCTCGTGAACCATCTCACTAGCCCTCATCATCTTTCTTTTTATCCATGCTCAATAAGTTGCCCAGACTAGCTTTGTACTCACTGTATATTCCAGTCAGGCCTTGACTTTGCAATTAATTCCTATGCCTTATCCTCTCAAGTAGCTGGGATTATATAGGTCCAACATTTAGACCCAGCTTTGGGTTTTAATGGATTCATGGTATACTGCAAGTTCTGATTCACTAAGGCAGGTCTGGAGCCAAGAGTTTTCAGTTCTGAAAATTTCCCATAGGTACTGCAGGCCTGTGGGTCACACTGAGCACGAAGTAATTTTATTTTACTCCTCTTCATTGCACTTCTGACTTTGCTTTATTTACCTTCTAACAAGGTTACAAAGACTTCAGGTTTGAGACCAATGGAACCAAAAGATATCAAAGCAGTCCGAGAACTGATCAACAGCTACTTGAAGCAGTTTCATCTAGCTCCTGTGATGGATGAAGAGGAAGTGGCCCACTGGTTCCTCCCCAGGGAACACATCATTGACACATTTGTGGTGGAGGTAAAGATAAGCTGATAAAATAGTCCTGAGAACAGGTTAAAGCTTCTTTGAGGAGGATTGCAGCATGCCCAGGTCCTTCATCCATGACTACTGCCTTTGCTAGCCCTACCACAACTGCTTCTAGTCCTGGGTTTGAGCGTTTTCCCTAGTTACTAAAGAGAAATTAGGGTGCTTTTCTTTGTTTGCTGTGCATTTGCTCTTCTCATTTTGCCTCATCCTAGATAGCTATATTCCAGAGTTTAATATTATTTGGAGTTGTGTATAGCTGGCTGGATCTGAACTGCCATTAATTGACACAGATTCAGCCCCTTAACTCTTGTTTAAGGAAGGGAAGGAAAAGGAGCCGTCTGTATTCTCTGACCGTTGCCTTAGTGGGACTTAACACCTTTTTTTCAACCTTGATTCCAAAGCTTGGAATTGGTTGTTCAGATGATGTCTCGCTCGGTGGATTGAAGTGGAGTTGAACTAAGAAAATGGGATTTTTTGGCAAGCAATTTGAAGATAGTGGAGAAGGCCAATAGAAGTGATTCTAGGGATTTGTTTATATCACTTGTAAACAGAACTGTTACTTAGCGCTATCAAGCATTGTCAGAACTTATGATCATAGGAGAGACTGGCCCATGGTGAGAATGATCCACAAGACATTTATAAAGAACAAGTGAGCAGACAGTTTCAAAATTTGTATTTCTAAAAACTCTTTGTACACAAATCTTTTTATACTTGTATGTCTTCGGAGCCTCATAAACTGTCCAATCTCAGGACTTAATCGCTAAAGAATTACTCAGAACCCAAAAGAGTTTATGCTATGGATTAGGTCAATAGTTATTTACCATACTCAATAATGTAACAATAGTAAAGCCATTGCATGTTACCTAAAGAACATCAATACATGAAAACTAATTTTTCTCAAACCACAAAGATTAGTGAAAGAACAATTTTACGTTTTTAAAAGTGAGTGCCCTTTCCTTGGTTTTGCTTTCAATTCATTGTGACATACTACTACCTTGATTGAATTACACAAAGAAGATATCTCCCAAGAAGTAATGAAGATTTTGAAATAGTGGGTAATTTAACCCTTCATATAATTGCTGTTTTTTTCCCTTGTGAGATGGGGTCTCAGTATGTCACCAACTCAGGCCCACTATGTAATTCAGGCTGACTTTTAGATTCTTTTTATGTTATGAGTATGGGTGTTTTGCTTATATGCATGTCTGTGCATTACATTATGTCTGTGTCTTTGGAAACCAGAAGAGATCCCCTGGAACTGGAGTTATAGAAGGTTGTGAGCTTCCATGTGGGTGCTGGGAAGAGAACCTGGGCCTCTAGTAGAGCAACCAGTGCTCCTAGGCACTGAGCCATCCAGCCTCTGGCTTTAGATTGCTGATTCTCCTGCCTGAGTGTCCTGATTCCTGGGATTACTAATGTACAGTACCACACACAACTCTTTTAAGATAATTATGAATACTGTGACCTGAAATTATCAGTGAACTTTCTATTCTCTTGATCTGAAACTCATTGGTCTGTTGTCCCCCATCTTTGTCCTCTTCTTTCTCTGTGTGCCCCTTCTCCCCAGCAGTTTTTATACACACCAAGCAGATTCTCTACCACTAACTTGTATCTGGTTCTTCAAATGAATCTTACTTACATACAAGTTTGCAACATCATGCATTGGCCTCTTGGAAAATGTAGATTTACTGAGCTACATAGATCTTTCAAATACTGACATTTCATTTGATAGTATTTAAAATTACATTCATGGGTAAGACCTTTGTCATCAGAAAGATTATAAGGTACCATATGGTAGAGAATATGATTTTTTTATCCTTCTTTAAAACTTTAGCTTAGACCCTGAGATCTCAAATGTTATTAACAAATCTGATTCACTTCTAAGAAAAGGTGCTAGATACCAAGGCTAAGTGGCCATGTGCTTTAAAATGGTGTTCTATTCACCAGTGGGTGGCTAACTTGGCATAAAGCTTTGTTTCCTTCTGGCAGCAGACCATATATACTCCAGTATGAGTAAGGAAGGCAGCTTTTGGTTCTCAGCTTAGAGCCTGCAAATCTGCTCCTGTGACTGTCCTTGTCAGTGTGAGCATTGACTCATCAGTCGGCCTGGAGTAACTTTCCATTAGGACCTGCTTTGGAAGAGTCTGAATATTTCCCACTAACACTTTGACTAAACTGCAGTCCACTTATTGGTCTTTACTTAGTATAAAGGACTTAAACTGGGTTATAGAAAAGAAAATCTCAGTTGTTGCTCATTTAGACAGAAAGTTGGGTGTAAGTCATAGGTCAGCATCAGCTGAATGCTTGTTCAAGGAAGCACTCACTTGCTGTTGCTTACCTTTGTCCTTCAGAGCCCTAGTGGGAAGCTGACTGATTTCCTGAGCTTTTACACGCTCCCCTCCACGGTTATGCACCATCCCGCTCACAAGAGCCTCAAGGCTGCCTATTCCTTCTACAACATTCACACAGAGACACCCCTGCTGGACCTCATGAATGATGCGCTCATTATAGCCAAGTTGGTGAGTGTTGTTGCTTTTGTACTACAGGGCTCTCCTTAAGCAAGTCAACTTAACAGAAAGGTCCTCTGCAAGAGCAATGTAGCTCTTGACCATGAAGCCACCTGTCTGGTCCCCTTCCCCAGTTGTCTTTATAATACAATCTTCTAAGATGGTTCTTAGTCTTTGGCTTTATATTATAACTTAGCCTTTTAAGTGCATATTTAAGTTATTGTAGAGGAAATGATTTTATACAGGAATATATACACAAAATACATTAAGCCATTGGTATTTTAAACTTTTTATATTGGCAGAAAGGATTTGATGTATTCAATGCACTAGATTTGATGGAAAATAAAACCTTCTTGGAAAAACTCAAGTTTGGTATAGGAGATGGCAACTTACAGTATTATTTGTACAACTGGAGGTGTCCAGGGACAGACTCAGAAAAGGTGAGTAAGCTTGTTATGACAGTTCCATACCAGCTTCCTTCAGGATAAAGGGGCTTTAACTATTTCTGTGTGTGTGTGATAGATATTGATTGTAAATGGAATCAATTACAATCAGTTAACTCAGTCCTCTACTACTATAGGAGGAAGGGGACTTTGTATGTTTTCTGTTGTTAGAGGTGTTTTTTTTCTGTGTGTATGTATATATAATATGTGGGTACATATGTGGTACAGCATATATGGAGGTCAGAGGACAGCTATGAGAAGTCAGTCGGTACTTGCCCTCTACCAGGGCTCCAAGGACTGAACCAAGGTCATCAGGCTTGTGTGGCAAGTGCCTTTACCTTCATAGCCAGCATCATGGCCCAAGGGAACTTTTAAAAACACAGATATTGTGTGCTCTATTATAACTCAATTTCCTCTTCCATTTGGTCTAATCCCATTTTTTTTTCTTTCTATAGGTTGGACTTGTTCTACAATAGGTGGTTTTGTTACTTCTAGAAGGCTGACATTCTCATTTGTTAATACTCGATTTAGTGAATCCTGGAACTGCCATTCCAAAGAAGAATAAAAGCACAAGTTGAGTGAAATTGAAGTAGTTGCTAACAATCAGAACAGATGGCCAATAGTACACATACCTAGTTAGGATGTTGAGAGCCAATCTCTGCTGTTGACTGATGTGTGGGAGGGATGAAGGTGTCCACAGAGTTCTCCTGGTAAAGAGAGGATGTTGTTCTTCCACTCTAGAAGTCGGATTGTTTCTCTGTGAACCAAACAGAAGTGGTGGCATCATGTTAAGAAAACCTTTGCTGTTAGGAGAGTCACTGCTGCTTTTCTGTTTATTAAGTGGTGATATACTTGTATAACAGAACAAGGATCCATATGTGTATCACCTTACATAATGCTACTGGGAATGTTTATAGAATTGACATGTGGTAGATAATTACGTATGGAGCAATATGAAAATGTACCAGTGACTTAGCACATTTATTATTCCATAAGAAGCGTAGTAGCCAAATCAGCAAACATAACAGGTCTATCCCATAAGCATAGTAGCCAAATCAGTAAATATGCAGGTCTGTCCTTTGCTCTTCGGCAGGTCAGTGGATTGTTTCAAAAGCAAAATTTGGGCAAATGTTCAGCATGCTCACTAAAGAGTACACACCGACTGACCAAACCTTGAGACTGCTTGCAATCTCATTACTCAGCAGTGTCAAGGATGTGTGAGGGAAAGGAAGTAAAAGCTCTAAGGTCAGATTAAATGCCCAGGAGTATAGTAGTGCTGTCAGCACACAGATGGTTTGAATGTTTTTATTATGCAAAATTGCACATGTTCCTTTATGCTGACTTTAATTTATCATGAAAATTGTCATGCTAATGGAAAATGTCTTACTTGTAAATACGTATTCATAATTTTGTTACTGATGTTGTTTTTACCTAGAATTTGAAAAACAAGTTTCACAGTGTACATATGTGTGTATATGCTGCCACTAATCCAAGGGAAAGTAAAATACTAAATAAGGCCACTGTATAGACTGGCCTTTGAGTCAGATGCCGCAAAGTAGATACTTCTTCCTGCCTTTACTACAGTGCCTCCGCCCCAGTCCAGAACACTACTTCAGACAATATGGCATTTCCTTCCCTACTAGAAAGGACTCACCAAATGTTACTTTTAGGTTGAGTCTTACCTGTTGGCTGTTCTCTACAGCTAACAAGTTGAGAATGGTCGTTATTTTTTTTTTTTTAATGATTAGGGGAAATGGCCAAAAAAAATGACATTTTTGTAGCATGCAAATCTTAGGAAATTCAAGTTTTATCAGAATACAGCCACATCTTCATTTATGACCTATCTATGGCTGCCTCATGCTACGAAGGGAAATTAAGTAGTTGTAATAGACTGGATTGTATTGCCTGCAAAGTTAAAATAGTTGCTGTCTGGCTGGCCTCTTAGCGTATTTATGGACTGAGGTCCTAAGTAGGCCACGAATTGTGCCAGACCTGATAGCACCACTAGAGGGAGTACCTGGGCCTCCCAAGTGGTGCAGAAGTGGGACCAGTACTGTCTGTCCCTAAAGACACATGACAGATTTTTTATTTCATATGGTCCATGCCCAACTGTCACATTTTTAACAGAACATCTTCAGAAAATTAAACTACCTATTCATTGGAATACTGTTTAGAAAGACAGTATTAGGTAAGTGAGTTTAGTGAATCTGGATTTACAGCTCTTTGGAAATTGTTTCACTCCTTTTTTATCTTAAACAGATTGAGTTTTCAGTTAGAAATGCCAGTCAGGAATTTTTTTTCATGGGCTTATTTACCTCATGAGGAAACTTTTAAACCATCCCTTTAGAGGTTTACTGCACATTGCAGTTGTTAAAGAACTCATCGCCTTTAAATACACTAATAGTTAACATTGGTATAGTCATAATTTAAGCACATGATCGGTATTTTACAAATCAGTAACCAGTGCAATTGCTCGGATATAAAAATAGCTGTTAAAACCAGATACAAATGCAAAGTCTTCAGAGTTGTGTTTAAGTTGCCCTGTCTTTATAGCCAAAATTTATTATAAGGTTCTTCAAAAAATGGAAATTTGTCAGATAGAACAAAGGTGGCACAGCCCATGAGTTCAACCAGAACTTGAGGTAAAAGTTTTAATATCCCATTTAGTTCCTCCTGGAATGATTTTCAAAACACATAGTCAGTTCCTATCCAAAGCACTGGCAGCTTCGTTTCCTAGCCGGAAGACCCATTGAATCTCTCCTCTTGCCACATTTCACCTAAGTTACTACTGTAGTTAATTTTTGTTGTTAGTTTTACTTTTTTTGTTTCGGTGCTGGGGATCAAGCCAGGGATTATGTGTGCTAAGTACATGTTCTATCACAGAGCTATACCCCCAATGTATTTTGATAGATGTTAAGTATTGCAAGGAAATTAATGATATGCAGGGAGGGAATTCTTATTGAAATAACCTTATCAGGCTTTCCCCCCCTGTATCAATCAAGTCTTTCTCCAAGCTTGTGTCAATGCTTACCTACAAAGAAAGCCAAATTACCACAAGTAAAAATGGTATGCCGCTTTTGAAGACAGTGTACTGCTTAGCATTTAGTGTCTCTCCCTTACAACTGAGCACCTTCTCCAGTTGTTCCACCCACCTTATTAGACCATGTCTGTGGCCCATTTTCCAAGTTTGGTAGAGAAATGTTAAGTGCTGTAGGAAACTGATGTTCTTGCAAGCAAGCATTGTACCAGCCTTTAAAGCAGTGAATTTATACACGCATGGACATTAGTCTCAATAAACTTTGGTTTTGTTAATCATCGTTTTTGAGTGTTTTCTGTACTTCATGGTTTTATTTCAGTGTACCTGTTCCACCTAGAAAAACTTGCCATATCTGAAAGAACAACTCCATGCAGGATCCTAAGAATATATGTAAACATACTTTATTTGTTATAAACCTTATTTAGACCATATTCTTTAAATGAAATAAGTTCATACAAACTACTTTGAAATGGATTTTTTACTTTTGGGTGGTTTCCTTATCTTATTAGGGTTGGGAATGAGTTTCTTTATTTTAAGGGGTTGTAGTATTACAGCTGAGTCCTGCCCACCTTCAGCAATCTTTCTCTTACTAAGTTTTGTAAGGTCATCAAATGAAGTGTCCAAAATCTCTTTGTCCTGGCTTTCCAACAATTCAATCTCTAAGTTGTCTTTAGGATCTTGGGTTCTGTCTTGAAGCCATGGCACATGTAAGCTGGGCACCCTGGGAATGATGGCTCTTACTTCCTCAGCAAAGTCCATGGTGTTCTTTCTGAAGCCCAAGGCTAGCACACATTTTAAGCCAATGACAGGAGCAATTCTCTCGCTGAGCTGAGGAACCTGACAAGCAGGAACGGTTCTGCTTATACTCAGCTGAATCATGTGTGAGGTGATGATGGCAGGCTTGACTGACTTGCACACTAGAACCAGCAGCAGTTCATTCCTCTCCAGAGCTCTGGTGACTTCATTAACACCAATGACCAGCTGTTTTCTGACATGGGCCGGTGTCCACCCTGACACCTGTAGATTCCCATCGTGCTCCTCCTTCAGATGCTTACTAATCTCAACATCTGGGGTACATCTTTGCTTTTCTACAAAAGGTGTTTTCTTCCGCTTCTTATCTTCAATTTTCTGAAATCCAATTGATTTAAACTTGTCTTCGAGGGTCTGTAATATAAAGTGTATGTCCTCTCTCTCCAAGGTGCTCCAGGAAATGACATATGGGTTGTTCAGTGATGTCTTTACAACCAGAGGTCTAGTCTTCCGAATAGATCCCCTCTTTGGTGCTTGAGGGGCTGCGGCCATCTTGAAAACCCTTCAGAAAGAAGCAAGATGATGAGATTCTCATGTTAGCAAGGCAGGTTCTGAGAGTATTTTGGTTCTATTCTCCAGTCTCGTTTTTTTATTCCAGATTGATATACTGTAATAGCAAGTCTAAGGCCCAACGAGGTAACCAGAAACATAACTTTTATGGTAAAATGAACTAATTTTAATTTCCCCTATTTTTTCATATCAGGCAATGTGTGAATGGCTGATGTTAATTTGTTAGCTTCTTCTAAACTCTAGCTGGTGCCTTCCACTCATTTATTTTTAAAAAATTAGTAACATTGAATAGGTTTGTGGATCACATAGAGCACAAGTGGGGGTCAGAGGTTCTCCTTCTACCCTGTAAGTCACAGAACTCTGGTCACAGGCCTTTATTCTTTGAATCATCTCAAGGGCCCCTCATTTATTCATTTATCAGCATATATTCACTGAGCTTCTCCATTGGGCAGATGGTGTTCTAGGCACAGCTGCTGGTGGGCAACAAGACCCTGTGTCTGCCCACACAGCTTATACCCTTTAATTTCTGAAAGTAATAATTAACCTATTTCCATGGCTAAAACTTCTATACTTTGTTAAGTCTCCTTCCTCCCGTGATCTCCCAGGTTCCTTCCTAAAACAATTGGGATATACTGGCACATTTTTCCCTTTACATGATCACATGACTACTGCTTTGGCAGGCAATTTCATGAAAACTAAAAAAAAAAAAATTTGTGATGAAATAAAGATTAATCCATTAGGGAGAAATAAAGGGCTAGGCTCCTTCCGAAAGCATATTAAAAGCCACTGGCCTATTCATAATCTAGAGACTATGGTATTAACCTTAGAGTTAGTTAGGATGTTCTCAATCACTCTCTAGTTGAGCATTCATTCATTTAGATTCAGTTTCCCTTTCCCAAAGGCAACTGCATACTTCCTTCTCAGTTTTCCTTATTCCTAGAGTTCATCTGGGGGCTGTAAAGACCCAGTTGACAAACTTTAAGGAAGTCCCCTCTGATTAAGGGTCTTCTAATTCAGGGCACTTTCCACAACCCAATTCCCTAACCCATGTGTAGGGTTCCCCAGTGTGTGGGTGGGTTAGGAAGCAGACTCACAGTCCAAACTGAGAATTAGTTTTTCTGAAGACTTCTTTGAGTCACGGCTCCATCTCAGAAATAACAGGTAGCTTTTAAGAAGGTAAGGGTGGCTTATTCTCACCCTAGAGCTACTGACCTGGGAGTGCTCCCAAGCCATGGGGGCTGGTAAGAAGATGCCCAGGTGAATTGGGTTGCCTTTCCAAACTACAGCCCTAAGAAATGGTACTGCAGACTCATTCCCCATCCTGATTCTTCTAATCACCTTCATTCCAATGAGACCTGCAGCCTTGGTCCCATCAGTGCTACCCACTGGTATTAATACTTTTTCCTTCCCCATACTGCACTGCACTCTCCTAGTCAATTCCTTATTAGCTCTGCTCCCCACAAACTCAGATTGAAAAACAAAAAGTCATCCAAATCTAGTGAGGTGACTGCCAGGAACTGGAAAGATAACGGCCCCACTACAGCTTTTTTCTTTTTTTTTTTTTTGGTTATGTTTTTCGAGACAGGGTTTCTCTGTAGCTTTGGAGCCTGTCCTGGAACTAGCTCTTGTAGACCTTGAACCCACAAAGATCCGCAAGCCTCTGCCTCCTTAGTGCTGGGATTACCACCGCCCGGCTACAGTTTTTACCAAACTGCAAATCAGTTACTGTATCTGACTAAACCATCCATTGTTGTAAGAGGGACATTCACACTTAGATGTGCTGCAACCAAGGGGCAGCAAGATTGGGATCACTTCTCTGATACACAGAACCTGAAAGGGGAGCTTTAAAAGCTGTCTGCATAAGGTGACTGCCATACCATATGAATTTTTAAAATGCTGACTAATAAGAACGGAGCTTCACAGAAAAACAGGGTGGACTTGCAAGTGCCTTGTCATCTATGTCTGCAAGCTGCTAGTGCCTATAGGATCAACTGCAAACTCAAGGGTTCCCATTTTTACCCTCCCATTTCTCATAAGCTTTTCTCCTTTCACCCACCACGCATATTAAGGACTCGGCCTATTTAATGAAGCTTCTGGTTTCTCATGTGCGTATTCGCGTATACTCTGCCTAGGATACTACTCATACCACCACATCGCTTCTTCATCAAATTCTTAAGGATTATCTTTGATGCCCGAAGCCATTAGGCTTTAAGCAAAGCAAAAGCCTCTGCGGGTAATAAGAGCGGCTGGCTCACTTTAAAACCAGAGTAGTGAGAAGGCAGGAAAGCCCTTTTCCTTAGGGTCAGGAAAAGGCTTTCTGGAGGAAGGGAATGCTATCTAAGAATTGCTTCCAAACGAAGTAGGAAGTGGGCAGCGGTGAATCCCAGAAGAGTATTAATACAAGTTTAGTGTCGCTGGGACAGAGGTGCTGGACTTGGAGTTACAGGATAAAGACAAGATGGTGGGCTCTAGAGTCTTGCAGTGTTTAGCGCGATTAGAAAGGCGTCGCAGAAAGACGCTGACTTTGGGAAGGGACCCTTGGAAAGGCTGTCAGCAGCACAGAAGCTCCCGTGGTCTCGGGAGACTCAGGGACACCCACGTTACACCACACGAAGGAACGCCCCCTCACGGGGTGAACCCTGAGAACAGTCGGAAAGGGCCGCGGGGAGACCTGGAGCTGAGTGGCCGCAGAAGCGGGTGCAGCCCCTTTCCCACCCGCCCCGCCCCGCCCCGCGGTGACCGGGGTGCCCACGGGCTGGGACTCGGACCACGGGCGCGTGCCCACCTTTGCAGAAGCTCCCTGCGGAGACCACGTGACAGACGGATTCCTTGCTGCGACTCCGCCGTCACTGAAGGCTCTAGTGCCGCCACGTGCGCCTGCGCTGCGCCTGCGCAGAAGGCTATCCCTGGCTGCCGGCCCTCGGCATGACGTCACACCCAGTAAGGTACTTAAACTGCAGCTGGCGACAGGTCGGTCCGGGTGGGGGTGGGGCTGGAGGTGGGGGTGGGAGGAATCCCTAAGCGCGGAACAAAGCTCCGGAGCAGTACTGCGCAGGCTTTTAATCTGTCTCGCGAGAGTCTGTGGTTGCTGTAGTAACCAGCCGCTCTCGCTCCAGATGCTTGTTTAAAGATGGTGAACCAACCAGTTCTTGGATCCTGTCTTTCTGGTTTAGCCCAGTTGCTTTAGCCTTGGAATTCTGGCCCGCTATCTTTTTTCGTTCTAGGATCACAAAGTTCCAGCCCTTTTAGCCATCCATTCTCTGCACATGTCCCCGCGCCACGAAAATTAAATAAACAGGGGTTGTAGGGTTGAATGAATTACGATTTATGTCATCTTGACAGCCCAGCATGTCTCTTTAAAATCATAGTCTCCTACCCTGGTCCTCAAAGACCCACTTCCATCTAATAAGGCATAGTCCATTCACTACAAACTTTCTAGGAGTGAAATCGCTGGCTTAGGCGCTAACTCAGTATTAGCACATAAGGAAATATAAACTTTTTAAAGAGTAAATGGACCACCTTGTATCCCCAGAGGCAGCATTTGAGGTGGACATCTGTTACATATGCCATGTGTTTCACCTCAGATCTACGGTATATATTTGATCCCCTCTGTACAACGAAACCTTCAACTCATGTGGCCATAAACAAGTAGAAAACAATATGTCAGGCTCTGGATACAATTGTAGTTGTGATCATACACAGCATGAACTAGGAAGTAGGTTGGCTGATCTTAGGAGGGGGTCTCTGTACAGGCTCTGGTCAGCATAGTCCTGGTGGAAGAAGCTGCAGCCAGTACTTTCTGCACATGTTGAGTTTGCTGCAGGTCACCCACTTGTCAATATCTGTACTCCAGCCAGAGGAAGGCAGTGACGTTCCCGTGAGTGAGATTCGCGGTGGTGCCAGTGTCAACTGTGCCCATTCACGCGGGACTTCGGCTTCACATTGTTCAGCTGTG